GTCCAACCACAGCGTTGAACAAGACAGTTATAGTCAGGCGCTATCGTAAGATGTGTGCCATTGCACCGATAACACATTTGAAACCTCGTCGAGCATCTTCTTTTTGCTGTAACTGGACTAAGCTCTGGGGGAAGGGGGGGGGAAGGGTGTGTCTCTAAGGCGCGTAGCCAATTTCCATTTTCTCTAGAGCTCGTGGCACCGCCTCACTCCTTAGCTCATGGTCAGTCCTAGGGGTTGCCCTCTCCTTGTAGGGTAGCGCTTTAGATGCACTTTACTTCAATGGAAGTGCGTTAAAAATCTGAAGCAGAGAGTGCATTTGATAGCAAAGTACTTGAATTAATATTAATTGTAACTAATTAAAAAAAACAAAGACAATATTAAACAGTAATCAGTGATCACTAAACCAGATAGGTAGACGACATCAGTAAACAATATGCAGTAGAAAATGCAGTGTCGACCCAAGACTGATCTAGAATACCTCGGAACACATGGGAGCAGGGTGAATATCGGTCGAGGATTCCTCAACGGCACGTCGAGGATTTTCGCCTGATCAGTTACGTTCTCCCGCGCGGACATTCACACTCGCCATGCGCGAGCCGTCTGTGCTCTCCGCGCGTACATTCACTCTCGGCACTACTCTCGCACAGTAGAGAGCATGGTCGAGGAATTCCTCGACCGTTATTCACCCTGCATGGGAGAAAGTTTTCCTTCGCCGCGAACCCAGACTTGATATAGGCTTGCTTAGATTGAATGCTTCTTACTACTAGGGTGTTTCTCCTTTCATATAACTGTAGTAAGAGGCCAGAGAGAGCTAACTGACTCAAGTAGAACTTCCATAACAAATATTTGAGTTACGTCGGAGCATTTATTTGTTCATTTATATGCTAAACTTTTGTGGATTTTTCAACATTTTATACATCTAGACTTTGTTACTAATCTTTGAACTATTCCACATTATAGTTCTGCCTTCCAAAAATCATGCAAATAATAGATGTCCAATCCGCAGACACTGTAAAAAGAGTGCCGTGCTCTTCATTCCCCTCCAGAATCACGGAGATTGAGCTAGGAAAAACTTGGAAGGTATGAAAGGCGTCCTCCAAGATTCGAACTGTTTACGAATACTGGTAACTAATACCGAATACCATCGGAATCTCGGGGTGCTGGATGTTTAAAGCACAATATTGAACGGTATACAAAGGCTATCCATGCCTCAGCCCGCACAAACCCTATAAAACCCTATAAACAACAAAACGCGATCTCGCTGCCAAATTCGCTCGTTTTTTGCGTCCATTATCTCTCTATGTTTAAATCCCATGCTATCTGTTCTGTCTTCTATGTGCTATTTTCCCCATTACTGCTGCGATTTATAAAAATCATTTTTTACCCCTCTGTAAATTCACGGAAAATTCTTATATGAATATTCATTTTTTAACCTTCCGTAATATTCACGAGAAGTTCTTTTGATCGTGCTAATTTTCACCTTTTCTCTCACTTCTCGAGTCAATTACCGGAGATATGAGGTGTAATGAGGTGTCAGGGTCCGATCGGGTAGGGTACCACCTGGTGGTGCCTGTCTGCTGGTGTTCATAAAGATTTATTGACAAATTCGAATACCTTCAGGTAACGAATGCCTTGGAGTGAAGAGTAAACTTTTACCGAAATACCTTTAGGTAAGAAGGTGTTACACTTTCAGGATCAACTTAGAAGTTCACTCACATCAGGTGGCCAGTTCCACAAAACTTTGTACAGCTTCTGTTTCACTATATAACTCCTGTTTTTATTCACAGTGAAACAAACTGAATTTTCAAAAAGGAAAAATCAATTAAAAATTAAAATTGGGGATTGGGTTTCAAATTCGACCAATGGGCTTCATCAGCAACTTTGTAAAAGCGAGAGGAGCTCATGAAGGCGACCGTCCATTCACCCCTGTCTGCTTCCTTGCAGGAAACCGATGAAAATGAGATTCACATCAAGGAATTGAAAAGTCCCATCTATAAAGCCGGTCATTTTGATGACACGTCGACCGAACGAATTCAATTAGAATCCAGTTCATAAATAAATCTCTTCAGTGCTATGGCTATTGTTCCCATCACAGGAAGCTTTTCCGTTCGTCTTCGATGTGTGAATAGGCCTCAATGGCAGCAGCCGCCATCGCCGTGGATTGTTTGTCGCATTGACCATTTCGTCGGCTTGACATCCTAGTCGTTGTCTCAGTTCATTCAAAGGGATTGATTGAGGGCGCTATCGAAAAGCCGAAAACTAGTTAAAATCAGCATATTCTTGGCTGAGAATGGGGGTAATATGGCCATTTTTAGGACTTGGTGTCGTCTAGAATGCGCCATGCGTTCAAATCCCTTCAAAAACTTGAACACATTAATCGAAAAGTTCTTCCTGTCATGCTGTCATGTCTCCAGGAATATTTTTATAGAATATTGGAGAAAGATAAATTGAGTCAACGTAAGTAAAAAAAGGGATGCGGAATTCGGCATTTTTCATTTCTTCTATATGCCACGGTGGACCTACTATTACAATGTTGCATGTCAGCTGATTTAAATGCAGTGGAATAACATCGTTGAACACCATTGGTGCCGTGACCACTATGGGGGAAGGGGGGTGTGGTATGTTTGATATGGCTTCTTAACGCCTTCCACAAATGAATGTTCATTACGCCATCAAAACCGCAGCACCTCACAGCCAATGATGATAGGCCTTAGGTACAGCATTTTATTCTTCCGCCGTCCTAGATGTACTTGATTTAAAACCCTGAGGTGTAAGAAGAGCCAGGTTGGCTGGAATAGTGTGCTAACGTAATTTGACTAGGAATCACTATGATATCGTCGCCCCTGTGGCAGCACATGGACACCACGACCATGACAGCTAAATTTAGTCTTCTGTCTCCATAAGTAAATGAGCAGTAACGAGGCAGATGTCCGGCAACGACAAAGTCTTTGCTTTACTCAGGGGCTGTTCGGGATCTAAGCCTCCTCACCCTCTAACGAATTACTCCTAGATCACAAGCGCGAAAAGGTATAAATCGGGTTCATATGTCCCTCCAAAACACCCAATTTTAGCTCAACCTTTTTCAGTTCAAGTCGAAATCGCCTGCCCAGTTGGAGGAGTACGATCGAAGGAATGTTGGCGATGGTCGAATGGGTTTTCATGTTCAGCAACTCGACGTTCGGCAACTCAACATTTTCGCCGTACTTCCCAAAGGGGTTTGTTCACGTTTGCAATGTTTCTTATAGAATGACATCTCGCAGTGAGGAAGTTCTGGTTTATGTTCGCGTGACATTTGGAAGTGCAGAACTCCGTTAAAGGTCCGGTTTCAACCACTGCTACGGTTGCTAGACGCTAATGCGTTATACCGCACATTTACGGGTTTCCGCATTTCAATAAGTGCAGTACACGGCGACGTTTTGCCTTCCGCTACTACGCGACCAGTCTGAGTTTTTGCTTTCCGCTCTGGAGTTTATAATTCACAAGGACAGCTGGCGAAAAAGGGAGGGTTCGTTGACACCTCGCCGAGGGTTCGATTACTTCCGGTTGTAAAAATCAGCTGGCGTCGAGACAATAAACTATTTCTGACGGCAAGCCAAGATTAATGACTTGACAGGGGAATTGAGAACTGGCGATGGAAGAACTGAAAGAAGGGTCACTGAACCCTAGGGAGACAGCATAGGAAAGGATAATCCTGATTCAGGGCTCTGAGTTGGGTTTGGAGGATTTCTCTATTTCATGACATAAGAGGGGCACAACGTTGCTCGTTCTCTCGGATTTGCGCCATGTCTTTGATTTCATTCGTATTTGTTGTGCCATTTGAATGCGCTCTAGGTCACTATACTCCATCACGTGCTGGCGCCATCGTGAATTAAGAACATATTGAAGGTTTCAACCTCCCAAAAGCCTGTCATAAATAAGCCAACCCGGAAGAAAGGGACTCTTTATAGCTTGGCTTGGATATCTTCGGAGTTTAATCAATTGACTGCGTGTAGAAGCGGTGCCTTTGCTACCAAACATATCCAATTTTTTCAACTGAAAAATAGATACTCGGGCTCACAGAAAGGTTGGGATCACATGCAAATCGTAATAAACCAGGGTTGCTAAATTTTGTTTCATCCTATGCACTTACCGTAGCACAAGTGGTGATTTTGATCGCGCCATGCCCGCGTTTTTGATAAGACGTTGCCAAAATGATTGAGTGGCTCTGGATTGAAATGGGCTTACGAAACATGCTACATTTTATACACTTTCATCGTTCTCTTCCAGAAGGATTTTTCTGAAAAAAAAAATACCAAATATTTATTGCTATCACTCAAAACGGTTTCGAATTCAGATCGTCTCGCTGCCCATTTCATCCTGTCACACGATCACATCCCTGCTCAGACTGTGTCGCATCACCCGATCCAATGTGTCAAGTGGTCTGCCCTGCCGTAGGCAAATCACGATTGCAATGCACTGTCCGCTCCTCCATCCTTAATTTCTTTCCAAAAACTGCTTCATTTTTTTGAAAACTAAGTTCTGTTATAGATGCGATGCTAGTTTTCTGATGTTCTCTTACCCTCGGGACAGGAAAAGTACCAGGTCCATCTAAGGGTTTTGTAATAGCAGTTTTGCTCCATGCTATATAAAGGTCACTCTTCCTCTTCTTCTCATAGCGCTACCGTGCAGTCGCAATTCGTATTAAACTTCGACGGTCTTGTCGCCAGGCATTTTCTGGCCGTATCCCTAAATCAGTGAGGATTTTGTCGACAACGTTCTCCAGCTTTCTTTGGCCCTTCTCTCGATGGTTGACAAAATCGGAAGATTTGAGTAGTAGGATATCCGACAGGAGGTCCGTCACTCAGCAAGAAGGCAGAGTTAGCGGACGGGTCGCAGCGCATGCTGCGCGATGTGACGTGCAGTGCGATGTGGCACGTATATCCTATTTAGGGTATGCTTGCGCATGGCACCATTCTACGCTGATGCGACAATCACTAAAGTCGCGCGTGTCAATCCGATGCCACTGACTCTGCACTCTTGCCGCTGCGATACGGGCCCTATTGCCGGGTACGCAGTCGAACGTAGTTTTTCTGAGAGACAGGATATTGTGCAAAGGAATCATAAGTCCCATCGATCACTATTACACATAAGTCCATGACTAACCACTTTATTTCGCTCTGTTTTCGGAATAGGCCTTTTCAGCCAAAATTCCTCCACGTTTTCTTGGTTGTCTATCAACCTAACAAGGTTTGGGTACCTCTGACTATTTTGCGCTTTACTAACTAGGCCTGAGACTTCGCTCTCTACTCTTGAGCACACACGACTTCGCTAATAACCAGAACTCTTTGCTCTGCTCTTTCTAGAGCGCAACTCTTTCATATCTGCAAATTCAATGATGCACATTATTTTGAGCCTGAACCTCCTTAACCTACAATTATTTAGGCAAGCGTATGCCCGATACAAAATGGTCCACCTTCACCTGCATCACTCTCCATGACGATCTCAGAAACGTATCTCTTCCCATCAAACACCTGCCTCAACCTGATGGCTTGTGAGTCACATTCGAAATCCATATATGTTCCAGGCTTCTTAACCCGCAACCGACCTTAGCACGACCTTTTGAAAACTTTATTTATTTATTTATTCGAAACGACGCATAAGGCAGTCGTGGGAAACAACGATAAATGAGCAACAGTACAACAATCTTTCCTTATAGATAACCTAGTTATAGCTCAACAAATTTTTCTTAGCTAGGCGTTTGAAAAGCACAAAAGTGGGAGTGACGAGTGCCACATTAGATTTAAGAGAAAGCATATATAGACCCTTGCACGACAGGTGGAAGCTATAGAGGCCCTCCTTCTGGTTCTAGATACTGCCTTGACATAAAATTTGGATGCATCAACTCGGGCAATACCGGATAACAACTTAAACACCATACAAGCGTCATAAACTTTTCTAAGAGAAAATCATTTGTAATTATCTAAGAATTTTAATCATCAAATGTGGCGGTATCGATGATCATTGACATCGATGATGGACATCGATGAAATGTTAACTGGTGGCATGCGTGTCCGAACCCCTTCTCACCACTTGTGGTTTTTGACACGCCTTATTGTCCTCGACGGTGTCAATTTTAAAAAGGACGTTCTATTGTTGAAACTCATCGTGCAGAAAATAACATGACTTCAGTTCCAGCAAAACATCATCTCCACAAAGGTTTCCCGAAGATTCCAGTATTTCAGATGCTCACCTATGCTCCACAAAATTTACAGAAAGGAAAACAATTTCACTCAACAGGAGGATTGCTGAAGTGCCTAGATCTCTCAAACCCCGACGGATCATTTCAGTAATTTTCGGAATCTGGCACCAATGTCGTTTTGTAAATGGCGAGATAGTGCGCTGGATGTGTGGACTTTCGGTGGCTCGAACATATTACAGCCGGATTTTTACCACCGCCCTCTTCGTCTTCGCCCTTATATTTCGAACAAGTTTCTGCCGTTCGACTCAGCTCCGCCATGATAACGGCATGTCCCATTTGCTAGGCACCGCGCTCTTTTATTGTTATTGCAAACTAAATTTCAAATTCCAATGTTATGGCAAATAGGTCAAATCTCAAAGAAATGTTGGTTGTTTAGTAAGTAAAACATAATTGGAACTTTTAGTCATACGTGTGTTTATTCGGCTCTTCGTCGAGTGCGGCTACGTGGACTGAGGTCGGTGTCTCGTGCACACTTCCATCTCTTCGACCTGCATCAGATCTGCCTTCTTCAATCACAGAACTACTCGCTCTTAGCACATCCAGCAGTTCTTACCGTATTGTCGAGTACAACTTTACTGTCTACAACTGTGGAGCTTTCATGACGTGAGTTTACAACTCTTAGGGATTCCTCAAAGGCAAGTACCGGAATGAAACTGTTCTATAAGTGCGCCTCGTAGTGATGAATGAGCCTGGAAGTTGAAAGGCGTAGGAGATCAAAGAAATATCATTCGATAAGATGCTGAAAGCAAGCAACCCTCAACCCTATTACTTAGGTCAAGTGTGGATGACGACGACATAGGGGCGATCGAAAAGAAAAACACGCATGGAGACAGTCCCGCTTTAGAGAGCACGCGGATCTCTACATCAAGCGCAGTGGGTATGCAGCGAGTTACGAGAGAGGGTAATGGTTTACGCTTAAAGGCACGCTCCCACGATTAGGCGCGCTTGCCTCTTCCATCCCGGGTGGTAGTAGGCAGGCGGACAAGTGTTGTTGTCGCACCCCTTTTGCCGCTTGAAAGTGCGCGACAAAGGCACAAGCAGCTCGTCCGACCTGCAACTCACACCTTCGTCGCAAGCCCCACCCTCCGCTGTCCGTTGCCACGTGGCGCTGCTTGAAGAGCGCGGGCGCATTTGGGGCAGCGTGGTCCCACCGCGACCCTGTGTCAATGGCGCTGGAGCAACCAGAGTCAGGCTCGCGAAACTCGTCCAACGCGCCTTTTCTCTATCCCAAGGTGGAATGTTGCTGAAATAGGGGAGGTTTCTGTACGGAGCGTAATCTGTGATTTCGTTTGCTTTCCTTCTCTTTTATAGACCACCTCCCACCTCTAGTATCATGACTGAACGCTTTTAGACACCTATTTTATCCCGAATCTTGCCTTTAAGAGCACCTATTTTACCTCCGACGAAATGGCACATCAGGTAGGGTACGTCTCCTAATTTTCCCCCGTAGGCTACTTCCTACTAGCGGGCTTTAATACTGGGCTTGCCTTCGAAAGCTTAAAATCCAGAATGTCTTCCTGGCACGTAGCTTCTTAAAGCAACAACCCTTGATCGAATTAGTGGAGTAAAAGTGGTCGATAATGAAATTATGGATGCCGAATCAACTAAAGATGAAAAAGCAGAGACAACACCGCCGATCTAGCCACCCTAAAGAAGAACTCTCTGTTCTACCCTTGTAATGAAGGGAGGGTGCGTCCCGTGACTAGTTGTCTAACACTTGCTTGCTCGCATGGCTTCACTTAACCGCGGTCTTTGAATCAAGCCGCTAGCTACAAACACCAGTTTACGTTCTCGAGGTGTGCGCGAGGTAACCATCGTCCACCATCCAGCTCTGCCACTAAGAACACTCTCTAAGGGTCCTAGCGCATTTGTCGCGCACTTTTCAGCCGCATAAAACGGCACCATTTTTTGATATTCGGTCGGGCTAACCTATCTACCCAGGAGTAATTTTGTTTAGCACGCCTTCATCAGGGGGCTACTTTAACTATTTGATGGAATTTATTATACCTATGTGGCCGGCGCTGAGGAAAAAAGTCCAATACTGTGGCGAAATTGCCCTGATGGAATCATATATGACATCACCACCATGAACCGTAGGTACTTGCAAATACGCCATAAAAGCAAAAACTCAAAAACCGTAGGAGGTCATAATTGGCTAGCAAGTAGTTTTCTTGCGTAGTTAGATATAGAGCGCTTCGCGAACAATTTCGCGGATTTTTGAAATTGCATCACTGGATTTTGCCTCCCAAAATCGTGCGCGGCTCCCTGCTTTCAGGGCTGTCTTAGCTAAACCAGTTTCTCGAATCGAGCAATGATTGTTTTCCTGGGTTTCAGATGCTCGTCGTGTAGCGCACCGGAAGACAGGCTGTGATTGGTGCATTGATTCACATAAGTGTGTCTCGAGTGGAAAATGCAATGTGGTAAAGACTTTTCGGACTCCCTATTTCCTCTCAGAAGATTGCAAGTTTTCATTACAGGAAAGAGCCACTGAATGTGTGCATATCAAAGCAGCCTCACAGCTTACGATACCTAATGGCAGTCCGCAGGAGATCTCGTTTAGCGTCGCTCACATGGACCGTCTACCTAAGAAAGAAAACTATTCCTGTAGAGTGGTTTTAAACGGTACCGCAGTACTCTCCAAAGGCCACGCTATCCGAGGTTCGACGCTGGAAGCTCAATTATCAAGCTCATATGTTTTCTGTAGTTCACGGGAGCTTCGTAATTCACCACACATATTAGCCAGAGACTTGCGCACCTTCTTGTGAACGAAGGACAGGAGCGCTTTCAAAATCGGCCTTCCAGTGAAAGATCGCTAGTTTGCTCTCACCATGAGAGCTCGCGGTAGCTATCCAAGTGGCCCAGACCGCGAAAAGCCTACAATATTAATCGCCGGCTCAATAAACTAGGATCTCACTTGTAGAGCAAAGCTCGTTGGGTCAAGAGACTAGAGGGTTATCTCTGATTTGTGATCATGATTCGAGCTTGAAGGTGCGGCATTCCCACGATTGGGTAGAAGGTTGACGTCAGGCTGTATAACTAACGAACTGGAATCTGGTTGACCACGAAAGTATGAAACGTTCAGCACCCGTAAACCTCCTACGTATTCTGTCAGCATTATTCTTCAATCTTATCGTGGAACCCTCCTATAACATGCGGTCGTGACAAGTAAAACCTCTACTGTATCGCTTGTCCAACATACAATTTCTGAGGGCGAAACGTTGTCAAAACAGAGGAGGCTTCCCACCAATGACTTGTCTATGCCAATCTTGTTTGCAAAAAATGGATAGAGTGATTTCAAATGCGACGGCCTTTGAAGGTTGAGAGGATATCTGTGTTGTTGTTTCTTACTATGCAGGACGAAAATGAATAACGTCAATAGGTCCTTTGAGGTAAATTGTAAAGCGCAAACATGTTTTTAGAAGCCACCATAACTCTGACTGCATGGCGCATCTCATAAAGCGAAATCACAGGAACATGGTTAATTTCACACTGGTTTTTACCCATTAAATACCTCTCTCTACGATTTGGTTTGTGATTTTTCTTTTTGCTGACAATGAAATTTCAGTCATCAGTGAAATGTGAGGCTATGAAACTCAACTATCCCGAGACACTACCGAACGTTACCGCTCCTCTCGAGTTCATGCAAGGCACGGACGTCATCGACAGCATCGAAGTTTGCCTTCCTATTTTGACTGCTTTCGTCCTGTGCCCGACCACAGCCGTCCGTACGAACGTGGACTCACCTTTCTAAAGGAAGAAGGGGATGGAGGCGTGGGAATGGGCATTCTGTGATTTATGAATAAGCGGAATTTTTTCCCAAGATAGTCAAGAAAAGTTTTTCGAAAGCTAGGGCCAGTTCGGGAGAACCGTTCCCTCTCCGCCTCGATGAACTTCAGATGAAGTTTTAAAAGGCAGAGTTCTCTGCATTAAAATGGTGCTAAGGGGACTGAATTTTGTAGAAACAGCAGAGTGATGGGGAAGGCAGTCGTATGCGAGACCCCCTTACACGACGTTATTTTATGATTATTACCGTAAACCGAACAGGAAGCCATGAACAAAACTACTAACTCATCACAATGCTATTTTTAAATTTTTCTTGACGTGACGGTTGACCCGAGGATAACTCTTGTGCAGCTACCAAAAATTAGCTCATTGCATTGCCGAACTTCCTACTTCATGGATTTTCGACATCTTTTTGTTGTTCCTCACTTATCATCAATCCATCACTAGCCTCTTACTTACAGTAAATATACTGTTTCCGGTTCCAAAAACGTGGACTGATAGCAGTAACCAATGAGAAGTCATAATTTTCCAATAAAACAAAATAGGGACCGAAGCGATTCATCCATTGCGGCTTACAGTGCTCTTATGAGCCAATTTCCAACTAATCACAGCTGTTCCAGTGCTGATCTACTCCTGCTCGCTGCTGGCCGCCGACTGTTCGTCGTGTGTGTTCGCCTCGGCCACATGGGGTTGCTCATGGTGCAGTGGACGCTGCTCGCACGACTGCCCTCAATCGCCTCAGGACGTCGTATGCGATCGACCACAGATCGTCTCGGTTCGTTGCGCTTTCTCTAATCCAATTATGCGAGGCAACGTAGCCAATTCGGCATGTCTCAAACAAACCAAACAAAGCGGGATCATTTCTGGCGGGATCGGATAAACGAGGGAAAAGAATGACAAAACCTGGAGCTATACAGTGAAAATGGATAGTTTTCATGAATAAATTTGGGTAAACACTTGGGCTGTTCCAGGTTTCATGGATTTGGAAGCTAGCTGATCGCTAGCTCCTTGCCAAAGCTTCTTAAAATTTCGAACCAACCCGCGATTTTGTGAAAAACTCCGAAATGGATTCAAGTTGCTAATTTAAGAATTCCCATGTTTATCGTCTTAAGGTATCTTCCTTCCAATTAATTCATTCTCGTTTTTCTTCCATTTCCTGTTCCCCATCACGGCATTGGCTTCCGTGATTGTTGCATCTCCACACCAGCAGAGGAAGACGGACGCCTGGCTATGTAATAGCGAAAAACAACTAGCTTCCAAATAATTTTATGGGTTTTTAGGGGGATAGTATTGCTTGTTTTGGAATTTTTTGATGTTTTTGTTTTCTTTTCCTTTTTGAAATGAAATTTTGGTGCATTTTCCGTCACACAGCAGTAAGACAGCCTTACAGTTCAAACCGAGTAGTGGACCGATCGAAGGTGGCACAGAGATCACGATCACCGGTCGAGACCTGGGCTCGACAATAGACGATGTGAAGGACCGAGTGTTTGTGGCTGGCAGCCGATGTCCAGTCACCCACTACGAGATTTCAAAGAAAATCGTGTGTCGAGTGGAAAAGGTACCCAATTACTTCCTAATTTTAAGGTCAGCTTGAATAATTTTGATCAATCATTTTTGCCCTCTTTTTCAGGGCAGCTCATCTGGACCTGTACGGGTTACAGTCGGCAAAACGGGTTCAAGAACTGCTGAGTCTTCTCTGCTGTACTCATTCGTCGAAACGCATGCTTTCTCGGCTTATCCACCATTTGCGCCAGTCTCAGGAGGGACCAAACCACAATTTTTCTTCTGCTCTCCTGTGGCTCTCCTGGTTTCAATATAGTGGTTTAGGCTGTTTTCGAGGTAATGAAATTACTCGTTCATTAATAATGTATGTATTTATGACTCTGTGTACACCGCCCGAATAACTGAGTGAAGCCTAATGCTTACGTGGGGACTTTTTCAACAACTTAAATTCTCGGATGATAACGGCGTAAGCGGTAAGCGAACAGAATGATGGACATAAAATTTTACGATGCAAATTCATTGCTAGCGGGATTCCGAACCTGTGTACGCGGCTTCTATTCTGTAGTGCAAGGCAGTCGCTATCATGCGTTCTAGGTTCATTTCAGGAACAGCCAATGTGCAAGGTTTTAGACGTGGTTTTCAGATTGGTAGAAAAAAGAAAAAGTGCAGTGGTACTTTTAATTGGCGAATTCTGCTTGCGAAGTCCTAAATACTTTCTGAGTGGGCGAAGCTTGTGCAAAGTTGTTGTGGGGAATCGCACATCGATAGGGTTTGCTGATATATACAGGGGGGGGCAATAAAAAAAGACATTTTGTCTCCAGACTCAAATGGATTTAATCACACTTTGCTCAGCTCAAAGCGTGTGCTCCCAACTTAGAATTGAAGAGCGCATTTCATTTCATAAGAAAATCTTCATAGTGGCCATCTACGTGGACGGCATCAGAAAAGTTTGCCCCGGAAACATGGTGCTCTGGTCGAGCTCAATGGGGTTCTCGACTGATCGTGTACCGTTACGACGGGTTCCGAAGGGCGGGTTCCGAAGGGGGTTTGCATAGTTAGAGCTAATGTCCCTAGGAAACTATCCCACGTTCGATCCAAGAAATTATGTAAGAGCTTCAGGCTGAAGCAGTTACTGTAGGCCTCCCTGAGCTCGACGACGGTGACAGATGACGTCATATTCTGAAGACGGTGAGGTAGTGAAGGGGCCTGCGTGTACTTATAGAGGGACATTTAGGGGATATTTGCTGAAGACGATTTTCGCCAACGACGGACCTCTACGAAGAAAAGAAGGCCGAAGTGCGTCTGGGCCAAATGTATTTTTTTTGGCCTCCACTGATTTTGGAGAGCTTCAATTAATGATTTTCCATCATTCTTCTTCGCTGGGTACATGATTATGCAAATTGTTAACCGGGCAGAAGTGGTTTAGTGGAAATCGAGCCTTACCATCCAGGAGGTCTGGAAGACCATGCCGACACATCCCGAGCTGTACATCGCTGGTCACGGTAGACAAATTTCGTTCAAATGCCACTACTAATCGAAGAGAATATAATGCACGCGACCAATACAGTCGATTTTAACACCGAGCTTTTATGCGTTCTTATACTGCGTTTTCTGAGCAGCTTCGCTATACGTTATTGAGCGTTTCTGCAAGTGTTCTCGAGAGTTCTCATTAGGATAAACAGATTTTTACTGAAGTTGAAGCCTTCCCAAAATTCAAAGTCAGCTTGCAAGTTTGCAATTGAAGCTTGCTTACAGATCACTCTTATTTCAAAATCGACGTAGTTCAAAATGTGCGGTTGCAAATTGGAAGTTCTTGCAAGCGATGTTCTGGTGAGCACCTTTCCTTCTGAGCTTGGATATCACCTAATAGTGTTTTTTTTTTCATTCATAACATCTTTCAGCATTCAGCGCAATCAAGCTCATCGCTCTCTTGGGTCATCTCGGCACACGCATCAAAATGGACCGAAGTCATCGTATCTTCGACAACTGCACTAATGAAGGTGCAGATCGTTTGATTTGCCGCCCTGATCCGAGTGGGTCCGTATCCCGTTGTCAGCTTCAAATCCGGTGACGAATGTTACAGTTGAGTAGGCGTCCTATCAAATTCTAATCAAGCAAATTTATAAAGGGCTTAGGTAAAAATTTTGATGCAGTGCTGCCGCAGTAGTTCTTTTGTCGTCATTCCTCCTTTGAGATCGTCTCGAAGCTGTCAATTGAAGTCGAACGCAACATTCATTTCGCTTACACGCGTTGCTTTGCCGCACACTCCAGGTCATCCTGATTCAGGTTTGTGCATCCATTTCTAATCCAGTTCTGAGAGATCGAATTGTTGTGAGATTTGTGAAAATAAGGTTCCGTAGCGATTAGGCTGCTCCCCTTTCGTGTGGCGAACATCCTTCATGGCAACAGACGCTTAGTATGTCCTGGCCACTTCTCTTAGCAGAGGTCAACTGGGAACTGCTGTGATTCCATGGAACGCTTCCTTCTTACGCTAAGCACGAAGGCTAAATTTCTTGGCTTAGAAGGCTGTAAAGGATTAGTGCAAAGGTGAAAGTGTTGTAGGGGTAGATGGCGAGCGGCTCATACCTCGGGCATAGGCTAAAACCGTTCTGAGTTCAGATCTCGCTCCAGACACCACGTCGCCACCTACCACTGCAACACTTCACCTCTGAAATAATCCGAAACAGCTCTTTCCGTCAAGAAAGACGGCTGTTGGGAATTATTCCAAAGTGAAGGTGGTGTAGTGGTAGCTGACGACTTAACCTCGCTTATGGACTGTGATCATTCCCATTTCAAACCTCGCGCGGAATGAGCAAGCCTCTTAACCTACTGGGTCGATCAAACCCTGTCGGGCTCGTTCAGAAACATAAAAGTACCAAGGCGTAAGTGGAATGGCCCGACATGTCTTTGAACATCCGGCGAAATGATGCTTAAATGCAACTATGATCCCGGTTGGAGGTCAAATGCATGGCGCATACCGGGAGTGATTAGTTGGCGCTGAATCCTTCACAATTTTATTCTACTGGAGACATCCGAAGATATTCGTAATTTTATGGCTTTCAATAGTATCATGGGCAGTACCAAGTAGTTTTCTTCTCTTTCTCTTGATATCCTTTCCACTTCATCAGTCTCACGTGAGATTTGTCTAAGGCGTTAAATAAAAATAAACATGAAAATAGCGAGTTTTGTGGGCTGAGCACTGACCGGAAACCCTTATGTTCCTTTAGCGAAGCAGATGAATTCATAGGGCTATGGTCCGCGTTTCTCTCCCATTTGGCTGACCAACTTTATCTGTTTTTTTTTCTGCTAGAACTTTGAACTTCCTTTGCTGGAGCGCCGCAAAATCGATAGC